GAGCGCAACAGCCTCCGGTGCTGGCCCATTGTTGCTGTTGGTCCACCCACGGCACACGGTCTCACCGCTGATGCCTGCAAGCAACCACAGCAACCCGCAGCAGCTCCTGCAGCCCAGAGCAAGGCACACACACCATCGATGCATGATGTGCTTGGCCACCGCAACGACAACGACGTGCAGCAGTACTGCAAGCTGATGGGCATCGACGATCGCAACGCCATCAGCAGCAAGCAGTGTACAACGTGCGCAGTGACCAAGAGCACTCGTCACAGCGTCAGCAAGCACGCGGAACGCACACAGGTGCCCGGCGAGCGCATCCACGCCGACATCGTCGACTGGACCGCGGACTCGCCCACGGGCAAGCGCTACAGCCTCGTCATCGTCGATGAGGGAAGCAAGCTCCTACATGCAGTCCACCTCAACGCCAAGAAGGACGCAGTTGCCGCGTTCCAGTCTTTCCTGCGCCAGACCAAGCTCCCCATCTCGCCCACAACAACAGCACTCCAGACGGATTCCGATGCCATCTTCCTCGGAGCTGACTTCCAGGCCATCGTCAAGAAGCACCTGAAGCAGCACCAGCAGTCCCCGCCGTACACCCAGGCGCAGAACGGCATCGTCGAGCGACAGGTGCGCACCCTCTCCGACATGGTGCGAGCCATGATCACGGGTGCAGGCCTTGACGCATCGTACTGGAGTTTCGCCTGCAACCACGCCCTGCACATCCTCAACAACATGCCTCGCCCTTCCCTCCACGGCAAGACACCGCTGCAGCTTGTCACGGGCTCGCTGCCCAAGCACGTGCCGCAGCTGCACATCTTCGGGCAGCCGGCCGTCGTCCACATCAGCACACAGCGCGGACGCCTGCAGCCCAAGGGTCGTCGAGGCATCTACGTCGGCTACAACAGCAGCAGCAACAGCCACCTCGTCTACTTCGCAGACACAAACACCGTTGTGTCCTCCATCCACGTCCGCTTCCTTCCCTTCTCCAAGGCCGATGATGTTGTGGATGAGGGGGAGGAGCAAGTGCAGACATCCACGACATCGTCCATGCTCCAGCTTCCCAGTGCACGTGACAGCAGCAACAGCACCACTGACGGTGAGCCGCCAACGGTTCACATCGACGAGGACCAGGACGAGGATGTCGAGACAGACTTCCTGCTCACGGACTTTGACGACGACAGCAGCAGCGACACCAACGACGCCAACTACGATCCAGACACAACAGATGCAAGCGACACCGAGGCAGGCGCGTTCACAGCAAGCAGCAGCGACGACACCAGCCTCACGGAGCCTGCAAGCATCAAGCAGGCACTCAAGAGCCAGCAACGCAAGCAGTGGACTCAGGCATGCTTGGAGGAGATCGGGGCCATGGAGCGCAACGACGTCATCAAGCTCATCCCACGCAGCGCAGTGCCACGGCAGCACACGCCTCTCAAGTCGCGCTTCGTCTTCAAGGTGAAGCGTGATGCTGAGGGCGCGCCGACGCGCTTCAAGGCACGCTGGGTCGCCAAGGGCTTCAGCCAACGACGGGGCATCGACTTCCACCAGACCTACGCCCCAACACCAGCAGCCAAGACCATCCTCACTGTGCTCGCCGTCTCCCTGCAACGACAGCACCAGCTGCACCAGCTCGACTTCAAGTCGGCTTACCTGCAGGCTGATCTCAAGGAGGAGCTGTACATGGAGCTGCCGCCGCACTTCACCGACATCGGCGACGGCGCTCAACGCTACGCGGGCAAGGTGTGCCGGCTGCTCAAGCCGCTCTACGGCCTCAAGCAAGCTGGCCGTGCATGGGCCAAGAAGCTGCACACCTTCCTCAAGACCAACGGATGGGCGCAGAGCCACGTCGACGCCTGCTTATTCACCAAGCTCCACGACGA